CTCTCTCTCTCTCTCTCTCTCTCTCTCTCTCTTCTTTGCGTGTCAGTCTCCAGTAAAACTTCTATTCTAATATTCGGCACTACGGTGACCTGTTAGAGTTGCAAGAGTCGGACAAATCTTACAAAAACTCAACTAAACTGTCCAATAAGACAAATCAATCTCCACCGGAGGTTGGCAGGTGCTCTTGTATGATCTGTTCCTTTTTTCCTTTTAAATTTCTATCTTCCGTATCTCCCTTCCTTTTCTTTTTGTTAGTTTGTTTGTTCTTTCTTTCTTTCTTTCTTTCTTTCTTTTCGTTTTTTCTTTTTTCTTTCTTTCTTTCTTTCTTTTCTTTCTTTCTTTCTTTCTTTTCGTTCTTTCTTTTTTCTTTCTTTCTTTCTTTATTTTCTTACTTTTCGTTCTTTCTTTTTTTTCTTTCTTTCTTTCTTTCTTTCTTTCTTTAATTATTTCTTTCTTTCTTATTTTTTAAATCTTTGTTTGTTTGTCACTCTCTAACACCTCTTATCTCCGGCACTTATTTACCCTAATGTGTGTTGCAGATGCAGCAAAAATCTAATAACTAAAACTACTTTAACTTTAACTAAACAAACAAATCTCCTGTCCACAGACACCGAGCCACACCCCTTCACTGCCTCCCACTCTGACTGCATCGCGGATGATGCGCTCTACGTCACAGATGTTTGTGTGTCACACCCTCTGACGTAGTAGGCCTATGTTCCACGCCATGTTGTTTGTTGCCCACCACGAGACGGAAGCTGTGTGCCAGGTGGAGAACGTTCGACTATACCACGTGACGTCCTGTTTATCGTGACGGAACGGAGGATCTATATCACGCGACGTGTTGCTTATCGTGACGGAACGGATGATCTATACCACGTGACGTCTTGTTTATCGTGACGTAACGGATGCTGTATATCACGTGACGTGTTGCTTATCTTGACGTACCTGATGCTGTATATCACGTGACTTGTTTTTTCCTCGTACTCCCACGAGGTGCTGGATCAATAACAACAACAACAACAACGACAACAACAACAACAACAGCAGCACCAGCAGTAGCAGCAGCAGCAACATCAACGACAACAACAACAGCAGCAGCAACAGCAACAGCAACAAACGACAACAAATACAACAGTGACAACCCCAACAACAGCAACAACAACATAAGAAGCAACACCAACAACGACTGCAATAGCAGCAGAGTAACAACAACAATAATAACAACGACAACAACAGCAGCAACAGCAGCTGCAGCAACAGCGGCTGCAATAGCAATAACTGCTACAACAACAACAACAGCAACAAACAAACAACAACAACAGCAGCCACAACAACAACATCTACTACAACAACAACAAACGACGACGACGACAACAACAACAACAGCAACAAACAACAACAACAACAACAACAACAGCAGCCACAAGCTACCCACCGATCAACACCAAAATGCAGATGGTCCGCTCAGCCCGTACCTCCCTACTGACGCAAAAGCCTTGGCTGCGCCTTGCCTTCAATATCTTCAGTGTGGTCATCCTCTTCTTCTCTCTCCTCTACATTTTCAGCGGTGTGGATGACGAGAGGGTGACCTTATCCATCGGAGACCCCTACTCCCGAGAAGTTCTGGCAGCTGTCTACAAAAAATCATAGTCAGTATAACAATAGTACACGACGTACTATATTTTCTGAGTGTATGTGTGTGTGTGTGTGTGTATGTGTGTGTGTGTGTATGTGTGTGTGTATGTGTGTGTATGTGTGTGTGTATGTGTGTG